CAGTCCCAGTGACCCTCTCGTAACCTGCTCTATTGAGGTGCCGTTGGCGTACCTTCACCTTGGCTCACGTTAAGTGTACAATCAAGTGTCCTTTAGTCATTTCACGGGAGGGTGCAAAGCCATCCCCGTCAGGTGGAGCGCAGTGAGGCCATGGCAGTCGTCCTCAGGTGGCTTTGTCCTGAGCGTGGCAGGGGCAGGGGGTGAGGAGACAGGCACGGGGTCCCCAAAGGTCCTCTGCCCGAGGGTTCAGCAGCATCCACTGCCAGGCGCCTCCTGAGGGCAGCAGTGGAGCTGAGCCCCTTCTCCACCCCTTGCAGGTGGATAAAGTTTGAAGAGAAGGTGGAAGAAGGAGGTGAGCGCTGGAGCAAGCCGCACGTGTCCACCCTGTCCCTGCACAGCCTCTTCGAGCTGCGAGCCTGCCTGCAGACGGGGACGGTGCTGCTGGATTTGGACGGCGGCTCCCTACCACAGATCATAGGTGAGGCAGGCACCGCCCGTGGGCATCACTCAGGCCGGCCCGCGCTGATTCACACGCTCCGTAGGCGGAATCCCAGCAGCACCCAGGGTCAGTCCCAGCGCTGCTCAGAGAGCAGGAGAGGACCCCACTGAGCACCCTCCACCGACGTGGTGAACCATGAGGGCAGTGCCACGGCGGTTCAGACGTAGGGCTCTTGCCTTCGGTGCAGGAGCCCTAGGTTCAGTCCCCAGACAAGGCTCCTCGGGCTCTGCCGCCGCCCCTGCCTGTCACGGTAGGCTTTTGCTTCGCTATGCTGAACAGACTAAGACAGACTAGGAAGAAAGGCCTGGCGACCTACTTCCAAAATCCGCCAGTAAAAACCGGATAACTCACAATCGTCTCATCCCAGTGTGCTCCGAGTCCAGGAACTAACTCCCACGCAGCTGATAACAAGCTTCCATGGAAGGAGAACGGGGCCTGTTCCCACGGCCCTTTCTGCCCAGGAGTCCTGTCTCAGCATTCACTGTTGGGGGCCTGCTCTCACGGCATGGAGTGGCAGAGGGAGGAGGTGGCTTGCATTTTTCTCCCCAAAAGGGTTTATCCTAGTGCATTCAGTTTTGCCCACAATATTTTGTCCAAACTCTTTTTTCTAAAGAGAATTCACTTTAGGACTAAAACCGATTGGCCGCCAGACTTCTGTGCTTCTTAGGGCATTTTTGTCTGTGCTCTGTCATTTGTGTTACACGCTCACCTTGAGAGGTGGGAGGATTCTGTGCACTGGCAGACGGACATCAATTATATCGGAGGAAAAGGAAGGTTCCCGGCTTGACCAGGATTCCACACATCCTGCCCCCCTGTTAGCCCACTTTGATGGGAGCCCTGTGGCATTGTGGGGCTGCTAATGGCAAGGTCAGCAGTTCGAAACCACCAGGTGTACTGTGGGAGAAAGACGAGGCTTCCTACTCCTGTAAAGAGTTACAGTCTCAGAGACCCAGAAGTAGTTCTACTCTGACCTATGGGGTCACTATGAGTCCGAATTGCCTCGATGGCCGTGAGGTTTCTTTTGTTAGCTCACTTTTAATTACACTAAATGCAGCTGAAAGTGACACACACCCTGGGTCGCCCCACGGGCTCCGTCCCAAGTGGGCAGGGCACTCTGTTTCCCACACAGATGACGTCATTGAGAAGCAGATCGAGGAGGGCCTCCTGCGGCCGGAGCTCCGGGACAGGGTCAGCTACGTCCTCCTGCGGAAGCACCGGCACCAGACCAAGAAGCCCATCCACCGCTCCCTGGTGGACATTGGAAAGTCCGTGTCGTCCACCACAAGTGAGTCCGGCCATGTGCGGTGAGCACTGGACATCCAGGGACTGGCTCCAAGCCCTGGTGATGGTGGGCCCAGCTCAGTGGTCAGTGGTGCCTTGGCCACTTGGAGGCTCACTGGGTGTCACATGCTGAAGAAACACTGAGGTTCCGGGAAGCCCTTCTAAGCCTCCTCCTCCAGCAGGTTTTCAGCAACACAATGCTGTCCCCATCCCGGTCAGAGAAGGCCCTGTCTAGGCAGAGGGGCACTTCTCAGCCTGGGCTGGACTGCAGACCAGCCCCCACTCCCATCCAGAGTAGTGTGTTTATGACAAAGGGCCC